GTTGTTACTCGGTTGCAGAGATTGAGAAATGTATTGCATGTCCTTGATTGTCTATTGGCTTATTGATAGCAGTGAGCCAGAAACATATCATTATCATTTGAACATATCACATCTGCATGACTCCGCTCGCTCATTTATTTCTGAAGCCGGGCGCTTACCCCCGGCCCCTATTTCGAGGCAGGCCCCTTTTACGAGGCCAGCGCGCTCGTTCGACGGAATACGATTATTACAGTTCTTCAGACATTATGCTAAAATAAACAAATACAAGAATACAAGAACACTAACAATTCTTAAATGTTTGTCTAAGAATTTATTACATTCTAATTCTGAATTTTCTAGAGAGCATCAACACTACAGCCTCTCGCTATGAGATACTCCGAGATTTCAATGAATACTTTCCCGCCACTCAAAATCGCATCTCACTCATTCACGCTTCCCTTGTCTTTTCTTGCATTTGGACAATCTTCCTCGTTACGTTTTTTCTACTGTAAAAAACGTTGCCTGTTGACTAGTACCTTGTGTCTGAATGTTGCACATCTTGGATGCCAGATTGGACATATGTCTATACGCTTGCTGCATCAACCAAGATATGAGACCTTGCAATTATACGACGCAGTTGGCAGCTGCCCGGATTTCGAAGCCAACAAGACGACATACGAACTGGTGACTGAATCACGTTTTACCAATAGGTGGGAGCGTGCACAAAAACTGCTGCCATTAGAACAGTGATCGCTCCGCAAACATTGCCACATTGCTTAATGGGGTAGTTAATCAGACAGTCCCCAGTACACACGTGAATACTGCTGCTACTAGGATGGGCGCAGGAAATGTCGGAAGGGACTGTTACTTCGATGGAACGCACCTTTATTATTGCTTTTATAACCCTTTCGAGTGGGTTCTTTAAATTTCTCGGAACTGGCCAACACAAACTATCAAAACACTGGAAAGATCCAACTCGAAGATCGACTGTTAACCTTGACCAGTGATTGCCGGGCAAAGCGTGTGATGAAACGTAGGGTTGGTCACTATTCCTGCCAACATGTAGAATGAAAGCAATGTTGTTTACATTACTGAGCTCTGCTGTTAAAGTTTTTTCAAGATCATTATCTTGTAATTCAACAAGGTTGCTGAATGTCATTGCCTAAATTCCTACCATTTGTCGACTGGTTGATTACTGGTAGAAATGCACTTATTGTTTGAAGTTCCATCCAGCCAACATCACAGAGAGTGAGAAGATCTTTGGTTGAAGTTACCGGATATACTAAAATGTCTGAATCTTCATGTTGCCGAACCCAGTCTCGGAACTCATTCAGCCATTTCGTATTTGGGACATTGCAATTCGTTGATGGTAGTGTTATGGCAGCATCTAGCCATTGTTCGATTGCAGTGGCATCTGTTTTTCTTTTCTGTATTTCATGTATCTTCATCATAGTCTCAATGTCAACGGCAGTAAATATTTTGTTTCTGATTTTCGCGGAATTGTACTCTCTTTTGTCTGAGAGAAATGTTACTGCGAGCTAGGCCAAAGTATAGTATTGACGTTACTCGATAGAATTACGAAATAAAAGGCATTTGTTATATTCAATTGAAAGTTTCACTTTGCTATTGTGCTGCTTAGACTTCTGCAGAATGTCGCCAGACTTACGCTCAGCTCACACATTAACTTCTCACACTTTAGCGCAATCTGTGCAATAAATTATAAAACACACGGTACGACTTTCTGCACAGCATTAGGCACGAAAACTTAAGTGAAAATTCACTGTCCCGCACCGGCCGGTCAATAATATGAGAAAATTTGAAAATTTCAGGCTGACACAGTGCCACCACTATTAAATCCGCCACAAGATCCTATACATAAGAACTGAATTTTAGTAGCTAAAAAATAGTATTTCGGCAGTTTTCGGCCGATTGGCACTATTAAAGCTAGATACCCAGCAAACATGTATGTATTGGGGCGATACTGGCGTCGTTCCGGCTCGCACCGGCGGTCCCGCTAACGGCTCAGCTGTACTGGTCAGGTGCTGGCCTGATTATGGCTGATACCGGTAACGTTTCAGCTGTACTGGCCTGTTACCGGCCCAGATAACTGGCCCCGCATTGGGCCGCTTTCATGGCGCGACATCGGGCCAGTACAGCTGAAACGTTACCGGTACAGGACCGGTGCCGAACTAACGAACTGGCCCACTAATGGGCCATATAATCTGGCCCGGTATTGGGCCAGTTCAGTGCTTTCATAGTCGACGCTGATACGTGCTATCTGGGATAATCATAATAATTATATTTGAAATAATTATACCGTTAGCATGAAAGACGAACTCTTGCATTATTATTACTAGTAATATAAATATATGATATAATTATGTGACAGTTTAGACACATTATGACAAAGTGGTGTCACCTGTCGAATGGAAATATAGCCTGACGACACCTAGGATGACGTCACGGGCACACGTCCTATATAAGTAAGAAACCGCCCCTTCCGGGCAGTAACACTTTTGCTCGTGCTACGAAGACGTGTGGCCGAGTGTTCTGGTCGTGGTCTAGTAAACTACGTGTGTAGTTTTAGTGTGTAGAATCAACCGAGTCTGCGTTTTCTTTTACTGTGTGTAAGCGCAGATATTTGTGTGCATGTGTAATGAGGGCTATATTTTATATGCGAATATAGCCTTTTATTGAGGTGTATAATTAATGAGGCATTTTTATGTGTGAACCGGCCAGACTCAAGCCTATGTTTATCTATGTGTAAAGTAAAACTTAGTACGTCAACACCACTTCAACTCTTCAGTTTATTTTATATGCGAGTTTTCCTCAAGTAGTTTTTTAACTAGCACGACGGGACCCGCGGCTACAAGAAACAAACACAACGCAAGGCTAATCACGAACAATCACATTATACGATCATCAGATCCGAACGAGATTTCATATGTACACACACACGTACGTACAGGTGCGTGCACACGCATGCCCGTGTACGTGTTGCTGCTTTCATCGAGTGTTGAATGCAATTATACAAACGAAAATGAGGACCACTAATGAACTATCACATACCCCAGCACTCCTGTAGACAGAGCTAGAGCCATAAGGTTGACATACAGGAGAGGCGTCAGTTTGGTTGCTATGGTATGTGTCAACCAGTATGATTGGTTTATGCTAGGCACGCCCTTCAAACTCGTAGCTAGGGCCTGCATACCTCCCAAAGTGACGCGTCGTCGACCGACCAATTGGAGCGCAAGCAGCTCCTCCCAAAGTGACGCATCGTCGACCGACCAATCGGAGCGCTCGCAGCTCGGGCACTAATGCTGATGCGATGTTTTGTGGTTGCATTATTTAAGCTGGCTATCGTGAGTGGATGGTTACTGGTAATTTAAAACGAATTCTTTCTATATATATATGGCCCCTATTCGACTGCACCACTGCTTTTCGTGCACAAATGTGGTGTTGGCTAGTAATTTCGCGATAACTTTTAAAAATGCCGGACAACATATGACAAGACTCTCATGGTGCACAGCTGAGCTGAAGTACATGGCTATCTAGCTTTAATAGCGCAACTCGGCCGAAAACGGCCGAAATACTATTTTTTAGCTACTGAAATTCAGTTCTTAAGTATAGGTTCCTATGGCGCATTTAATAGTAGTCTGCACTCCGATCCCCTACTCGACATTGGTTCACAATAGACATGGTAGATAGGGTGCCTTCGACGCTTTTCGGGTAAATCACCAACGAAAATTCGGCTCAGTTTCGGGAGATCTTGTATTCTTAATCTATTGATTCTTATTAAATATTATTAGTATCATCGCCCGAGTAATTACAGGAAATCCTGCGCGCTGATTGGTCGAGACCTAGGTGATTATCTTTTGATAATCACCTCTAGGGTTTACATTGTAGTGGCGCCAAAAATGGCGGCTAGATTTGTAAATGTTACGAAAGCCGAAATTGACAAAGTTAAAGAAAATGCTGTCCCGAAAAGTACCTAATATCGGGCAATGATACTAAAACAATTATTCGCCTCAGGCTCAGTGAATCCTGTTGAATAATTGTTAATTATTATTATTATTCTAATTATATTCTTAATCCTAATTCTATGCGCAAACCCTATTCCTTAAGCGCAAAGACACCCCTAGTTTTAATAGAGACTCAATTGATCTGTTTTTTATTCAACTATGATCAAATCAAGAAGCTCAAGCAAGAACCTGAAAATATTCATTTGATACACAACAGTATACATTTATTCTAGTAAGAAATAGAATTTTAAGTGCCAAAAACATTTCCTCGAACGAGCGCCCAGGCCCTTATTGTTTTAAACTGTCTCATTGCCCCGGCCCTTTTTCGAGGCAGGCCCTTTTTCGAGGTCCGGCGCTCATATAAATGTATGCCTTATTTCAAGTACAAGTACATTTTTATCAGTCAAAATCTAATAGAAATCTCTAAATTCTTCCGAGGTAAACATATTTTCGTTTGAAATTTCATTCACTTCCCCACAAAACATGTCGCAAATTACAGTTTACGACGCAATAAACTTGTCAAGTATGGAAAGCATCTGACAATTTATTATCGCAAATTTATTTCAAACAAACAGAAGACATGAAACAAATGAACATTCGACGAGTTTATTACAAAAAACAAAATTCATTTACAATTGAAGACACAGAAACACATTTATTATCTGTTAAAAATGTTGCTAATGGCATGTCATCTTCCTCATCGCTGTCGTCATGCACCACAAGGCCGTTGTCCTCCTCTTGGTCGGAATCTGCTTGGTTGTCGGAGTCAGTCGCAGCCTGGTATAGGGCAGTCAGGTCGCCATTTGCATCTCGAAGAATTGACATTTTGTTTAATAGTTCGTCTTTTTGTTCGGACATGATGCCATGGTCTTTGATCACATTGATCAGAGCGTTCTCAGAATTGTCCACATTGTTTGACAACCCACACACTTTGAAAGATTTTTTTATGAGTTCTGGAGACAGTGACTCCCAAGCCACTTTTCACCCACGTGGCGATGATCACTTTGGAGGAGCTCTCATGTTGCCCCCCTTGGTATAAAACTTCTCCCCGTTGGCCATCCACTCGTCGTACTGTTCTCGGCATGCCGTCTTGAATGGCTGGTTCCAACAAACATCTGGCGCCTGGACCAGTCCAGTGCACCCACCAGGGATGACCGCCATCTCCGTGTTCAGCCGCCGAAGTTTGTCCTTGACAGTGTCCATAATGTGGCATCGAAAAGCATCCCATGCCAGCAGGCGTTTGCCGAATGCCAGGGCGCCCCACACTTTCGTTAACCAGACAAGTGTGAGGTCTTCGTTCATCCACCCATTGGATGACATGACAGAAACAACACCACGAACATTGTCTAACTCTTTGTCTTTTCGAACACCTTTAAACACAATAAAGGGCGGTAACTTTACACCATTGGCTTTGGCAGCCAGGACAACTGTATATCGCGACTTCTCATGACCAGTTGTCTTCAGTGGTATCGACTTGGTACCAGTGAAGTCCACAGTGGTGTCCCTGGCATGTCGAACCACACCGGGGTCTCGTCCATGCGCCGATCTGCGAGTCTTGAAACAAAAACCGCAACACAATGACCGCACGAACAAGAAGTACGACATCATTTTGGATGACAGACGTCTAGAACTTTCTGTGCGAGGGTGTGCGTCGTCAGGGTGATCCCATGGCGTTGAAGAATTTTTCCAACCATCCTCGAGCTGGCTACAAAGGGGGAGTCGGCGTTTCTCGTGATCAAACAATTCCAGTGCTCGGCGCTGGACTCTCTTCCTGGTGACTCGTAGTCTCGGCTGCTCTCGTCTTCGATCCACTGGACCAGCCTCTGTCTCCATGTTATCATCAAGAGGCCTGCGCCCCCCTCCATCAAGCTTCCCGTCGTTTGCTGTTGCTGCCATGGTTTGCTGCTCGTAGCTTCTCCTCCTGCTTCACCCATTCTCTGATGCTTTTGAATCAACATTGAATTTTCTCGCTTTAGCTTCCTTTGAGTTGCATCTTTAAACCACTGTATGGCTTCAAGCTTGTAAGCTACAGTATAACTCTTCATTTTCCGCTTTCTGGAATCGGGCGTTGGTGTAGGGTGTCTCAGCCATAGTTGAAAGATAATTCTTAGATTTTACTCTGAACTGATTAAACAATCAGAGAAACTGATTATAAATAATTATTGATCAACACGCATCAATTCAATTTCCAAAACAGCTCGCTCTTGTCACTATACGTTTGTGTCTCTTGTTGTTAATCTCATATAAAATGCAAAGCCTAAACAAGCTTCGCTCAATATGCAACATTTCCAAAACAGCTCGCCCCTAATCACTAAAGCTAGTGCTCCACACACGCGGCACGACACGACACGGCAAAACGCAGCGCCGTTATGCTGAAAAAAAAACATTGTGATTTCGCGCATTGTGTCTGAGCGCATTGTGTTCACTCTGGTCAGAGATAGAGAATTATGCATGTGCTTGTTGTCATTGGCTTGATGTAGCGTGAGCAGAAACATATCATTTCATGTTGAACATATCACATCTCATGACCCGGCCCTCATTTATTCTGAAGGGCTTACCCCCGGCCCTATTTCGAGCAGGCCCTCTTACGAGGGCCAGGCGCTCGTTCGAGGAAATACGGATTTACAGTTCTTCAGACATTAGCTAAATAAACAATACAAGAATACAAGAACACTAAACAATTCTTAAAGTTGTCTAAGAATTTATTACATTCTAATGTGAATTTTCTAGAGAGATCAAACATACAGTCCTCGTCGCTAGAAGACTCCGAGATTTCAATGATACCTTCGCACGCACTCAAAGATCGCATCTCACTCATCACGCTTCCTTGTCTTTTCCTTGCATTTGGAAATCTCCTCGTTACGTTTTTCTACTGTAAAAACGTTGCTGTTGACTGTACCTTGTGTCTGAATTTGCACATCTTGGATGCCAAGATTGGACATAGTACTATACGCTGCTGCATCAACAAGATATGAGACACTTGCAATTATACGACGAGTTGGCAGCTGCGGATTTCCAAGCCAACAAGACGACAATCACAACTGTGACATGAACTCCACGTATTTACCAATAGGTGTACCGTGCCACAAAAACTCTGCCATATAGCAACAGTGATCGCTCCCAATAACATTAGCCACATTTGCTTAATGGGTATTAATCAGACAGTCCCCAGCTACACATCGAATACTGCTGCACTACTTAGGGATGGCGCAGAAAGTCGGCCAACTTCGATGGAACGCACCTTTAGTATGCTTTTATAACCCTTCGAGTGTTCTTAAATTTCTCGGAACTGGCCAACACAAAGCTATCAAAAACACGCGAAAGATCCAACTCGAAACGACTCTTAACCTTAGACAGTGATTCGGGCCAAGCGTGTGGATGAAACGTAGGTTGCCGTCACTATTACCTGCCAAACCTGTAGAATAAAGCGAATTTGTTTACATTACCTGAGCCTTGCCTGTTAAATCGTTTTTCAAGTATCATATCTTTGTAGATTCAACAAGTTGCTGATATCTCATTGCCTTAAATTCCTACCATTGTTCCGGACTGGCTTGAGATTACTGGTAGAATGCACTTATTGTTTGAAGTTCCATCCAGCCAACATCACAGAGAGTGAGAAGATCTTTGGTTGAAGTTACCGGAGTATACTAAAATGTCCTGAATCTTCATGTGCGAACCAGTCTCGAACTCATTCAGCCATTTCGTATTGCGACATTGCAATTCGTTGATGGTAGTGTTATGGCAGCATCTAGCATTGTTCGATTGCAGTGGCATCTGTTTTTCTTTTCTTTATTTCATGATCTTCATCATAGTCTCAATGTCAACGGTAGTAAATATTTTGTTTCTGATTTTCGCGGAATTGTACTCTCTTTTGTCTGAGAGAAATGTCTACTGCGAGCTAGGCCAAAGTATAGTATTGACGTTACTCGCTAGTATTACGAAATAAAAAAACGCATTTGTTATATTCAATTGAAAGTTTCACTTAGCTATTGTGCTGCTAGACTTCTGCAGAATGTCGCCAGACTTACGCTCAGTCTCACACATTAACTTCTCACACTTTTAGCGCAATCTGTGCAATAAATTATTAAAACACCACGTACGACTTTCTGCACAGCATTAGGCACGAAAACTTAAGTGAAAATTCACTGTCCCCACGGCCGGCAATAATATTGAGAAAATTTGAAAATTTCAGGCTGACACAGTGCCACCACTATTAAATCCGCCATAAGATCCTATACATAAGAACTGAATTTTAGTAGCTAAAAAATAGTATTCGCGCAGTTTTCGGCCGATTGGCCACTATTAAAGCTAGATTACCCAGCAAACATGTATGTATCTGGGCGGATACTGGCGTCCGTCCGGCTCGCACCGGCAGTACCGCTAACGCCTCAGCTTTACTGGTCAGGTGCTGGCCTGATTATAGCTGATACGGTAACGTTTCAGCTGTACTGCCTGTTACCGGGCCCAGATAACGGCCCCGCATTGGGCCGCTTTCATGGCGCACAATCGGGCCAGGTACAGCTGAAACGTTACCGTTACAGACCGATGCCAACTAACGAACTGGCCCACTAATGGGCCATATAATCTGGCCCCGTATTGGGCCAGTTCAGTGCTTCCATAGTCGACGCTAATACGTGCTATCTGGGATAATCATAATAATTATATTTGAAATAATTATACCGTTAGCATGAAAGACGAACTCTTGCATTATTATTACTAGTAATATTTGTATACTTGGTATAGTAACACATGAATGTGCCATTACGGTGCCAGTCCCAGTGTGTGGAAAGGGGCAAAGTAGTAATAAAGAATTTATTCGAGGAAAAAAGAAAAATGTAACAAAATTTAAACAGGTGTGCTTAAACCTCCACCTATCGGTAACAGTTAGTTTGGCGGTTATTTAACCTGGAAAGAGATCAGCCAAGTTTCGCCTCTGCTCTTGGTAAGTTCCGTATTTAAGTGCAAATAACAAGTTGTATTTCTTATTATAAGCTATTCTGTTATTTCAATTGAAAGAAATTAGTATTTGCACAGAAACAAGGAAGTTTTGGGAAGTGTCACTGTTAGAACTAACGAAAACCTGTGCTTGTATACACTGTCGATCACATGATAATTTAACTCTAAGAAACGGTCTTTGCTAGGGTTAGAAGACCGTATAATTGTATCCCCCGAACGAAGTTCGTGGGATACTATGGGTTGCATCCGTCGCGCCGCCACCGCGCCGCCGCCGCCGCTGCCGCGATAGATTTCCCTGTGAAGGCTCTACCGCCTGCAGTTTCTTCCGATCATCTTCAAATTTTTAATGAAGGTGCGTTATCGTAAGCGAAGACACCTATCTGTTTTGGTGTGGCAGAGTCATCGTTGCCATGGTAACAACATTTTTTGTCGAAATATTCTAGAACCTGTAACTTCTGCACTTTTTACCGATTGTCATGAGAATTTATATTTTATTAAAATTTATAATTAAATTTATATTAAAATTTAAATTTAAAAATTAAAAATTAAATTTAAATTTAAAAATAAAACTTTAAAATTTAATTATTTGTATTAAAATTGTATTTAACTTGTTATGTCAATTTATATTTAAATTTATGATTGTCATCAAATATATATATATACATGTATAAATATATATATATAGTTTAATATATATACTATCTAATAAGACATGTTATATCGGCCCTGTGTGCCAAATTCCATGACAATCGGGTAAAAACAGCACAAGTTACAGGTTCTACAATATTTCCACAAACATTTTGTTACCGTGGCAACGATGACTCCGCCCACACCAAAACGATTGGCGTCTTTGCTTTACCATAACGCACCTTCATGCCAAATTTGAAGATGATCCGAGATCGGGTAAAAACTGCCCACCTTGATCATATTTCTCTTCCGCTCTCTAACTTAGCCCCTAATTGACCTAGCGCCACCAAACTTGGTATGCTTACATCTTGGGGAGAAGGTCTGTCCCATACCATAACCACCACTGCCCTTGACCTTAGTTTGACCTTCACCGTCGACTTACATTTCCTCTTCGGCCTCCTAAGGTAACCAGATTCCATATACTTGCACATCTGAGGCACACCAGTTGTCTAACAAACCTTTGTCTCTGTGACTTATTTAACTTTACCTGCCTTCTACGTCCTTACAGAGATATTCTATTCATACTAGATCACGGGGGATACATGTAGTTGGCGACAACTGCTCGTTTCTAGTTATTGTGAATATTGACGTTAGTCACACAGCCTGGTCGGGCTCATGATAATTATGATACTACTACTCAGGCTACTGGCTGGCTAGATACAGTACTAGAGGCTAGTAGAGCTACTGGCTGGCATACATTTTCATTGTGAATTTGTGTAGTCGATTTCTATATTGGTTGTATCTATGAATGTGTATAGGCAGACGTAGGCCTATGTACTGATTACTGTATAATATGTTGTATATTACCAGATTACGTATCTAATCTAGTCTATGTCTATAGGCCTCTGCCTAATCACCCCTAGAATGGACAGAACTGACTGAATTGACAGAACAGAACAAACTGACACTCCTAAACTGACAGTATTGACAGAATCTTTATCAGCATGATATAAAGGCGGTCAGGGTCTGGTCTGTCATTTTACATATTAATTTTATTTCAGAGTACCTCTTCAGTTGCGCTAGGTTAGTTTGATCGAATTATGTCGTATCGGACAAAACGTCGTAAAATTCATTCAATTTAAAGTAGAAAAGCACTAGCAAAATATTGCAAATGGTTCATCATACAAAGCAATGCCTATCATACAAGATTCATACTTTTTGAATTATTTGGACTTCGGACCTCGATCTTTCCGTGTGTCATCAAATTATGAAGTTCTTGTTATCGTGAGTTTTCTCATAGCTGCAATGCGTTTCTGTCAACGCTACTCTCGTAACATTAACATTAGTCGTAAGTGTTATCTTAGCATTAACATTAGTAATATAATAGTAGCAGCAGCAAAAGCACTAACTTCTTCATCGACATGAGAACAGAAGAGAAAATACACGAACATTGTCTAACTCTTTGTCTTTTCGAACACCTTTAAACACAATAAAGGGCGGTAACTTTACACCATTGGCTTTGGCAGCCAGGACAACTGTAATTCGCGACTTCTCATGACCAGTTGTCTTCAGTGGTATCGACTTGGTACCAGTGAAGTCCACAGTGGTGTCCCCTGGCATGTCGAACCACACCGGGGTCTCGTCCATGGCGCCGATCTGCGAGTCTTGAAACAAAAACCGCAAACACAATGACCGCACGAACAAGAAGTACGACATCAGTTTGGGGATGACAGCGTCTGGAACTTTCTGTGCGAGGGTGGTGCGTCGTCGGAGGGTGATCCCATGGCGGTTGAAGAATTTTTCCAACCATCCTCGACTGGCTACAAAGGGGGAGTCGGCGTTCTCGTGATCAAACAATTCCAGTGCTCGGCGCTGGACTCTCTTCCTGGTGACTCGTAGTCTCTGGGCCCTCTGGTCTTCGATCCACTGGACCAGCTCTGTCTCCAGGTTCTCATCAAGAGGCCTGCGCCCCCCTCCATCAAGCTTCCGTCGTTTGCTGTTGCTGCCATGGTTTGCTGCTCGTAGCTTCTCCTCCTGCTTCACCCATTCTCTGATGCGTTTTGAATCAACATTGAATTTTCTCGCTGTAGCTTCCTTTGAGTTGCCATCTTTAAACCACTGTATGGCTTCAAGCTTGTAAGCTACAGTATAACTCTTCATCTTTCGCTTCCTGGAATCGGGCGTTGTTGGTGTAGGTGTCTCAGCCATAGTTGAAAGATAATTCTAGATTTTACTCTGAACTGATTAAACAATCAGAGAAACTGATTATTTATAGAATTATTGATCAACAAGCATCAATTCAATTTCCAAAACAGCTCGCTCTTGTCACTATTACGTTTGTGTCTCTTGTTGTTAATCTCATAATAAAATGCAAAGCCTAAACAGCTCGCTCAATATGCAACATTTCCAAAACAGCTCGCCCTAATCACTAAAGCTATGTCTCCACACACGCGGCACGACACGACACGGCAAAACGCAGCGCCGTTATGCTGAAAAAAAATACATTGTGATTTCGCGCATTGTGTCTGAGCGCATTGTGTTCACTCTGGTTCAGAGATCAGAAATTATGCATGTGCTTGTTGTCCATTGGCTGATGGTAGCGTGAGCAGAACATATCATTTCATGTGAACATATCACATCTCATGACCCGGCCCTCATTTATTTCGAGGGGGGCTTACCCCCGGCCCTATTTCGAGGCAGGCCCTCTTACGAGGCCAGGCGCTCGTTCGAGGAAATACGGTATGTTATAAAATTAAAGAAAAACTAATATGTATTTCTATACTATTCTATAATTCCTCCTTTATACGCTCTTGATTCTATTACTATATGAATAACTCATCTACAAACAGGCACTGCTGTGGGGTATATGGGTACTTCCATACATGTACCCACTAAGCTAATCCAGAGAGACATGATACAAGATTGCATGGCAGAGCTTTGCTGTTAATCCTAAGCGCTGCGTGCGAATTAGACGCACAGTTCCGCGGGATATGCGCACGCGACCGCGGGGATGTTTAAGTATGAAGCGCTGTCCGCAATGGAGACGTGCGCCAAATTCGAGGCGCGGTGCACGTCTCCACAGCGGTCAGCGGATGGTCTGTAGTTTTAGAAGATGACAATGATTATATATTGACGATATTCTAGGAATTGCAGATTATAAAACAGTAACAAAAATCGCTCAGTCATTCTCCAGATTAGCTGAATCAAAAAGATTAGAAATTAATATGAACAAAACAAATACAATGGTTATAAAATTCACAAACAAAGAAAGGATAGAAAAGGAGATATTAATAGGCAACCAAGTAATAAAAAATGCACCAAATATTCATACCTAGGGGATTTAATTAATCNCTGCTGCTGCTGCTGCTGTTGCTACTGCTATGACGCACGCAAGCACTCACCCACACACACTTGCACGTACGCGCACATACAGTCACACACTCACGCACGCCCGAACGCATGTCGGCACGTATGCACGCACGCACGCACATACAAACTCAAGTACCCTCCCCCCACACACGCGCGCGCACATGACGCACGCATGCACACACGCACACGCCGATACACGCACGTGCACGTGCGTTTGAAGAAAGCATAGGGGACGCGCGCACACACACACTCTATAAGCAGATTATTGCAGCTGATTTTTTAGTCGTAAACGCAAAAGATGTTTGCTTGCTTGATAAGAATAGTCTGCAGCTGGGGCTACGTGACCGAGCCGGAGTCGCGGGATGTCAGGTAGACATATGTTTATCGGGTGAGTCAACGTGAAATGACAGGTGCGATAATGCTATCATAAGCGATGGCTGGATTTATTAGTTCACACGAACTCAACTCATAAGAAATTTGGCGAGTTGAAAAATCCACATCGTGACTCGATGATATAGAGCCTTCATATAGAATGAGAGATTGCAGTAACGCCATTAAAGGGAGGGGTTATTTAGAGAGAGAGAGAGAGAGAGAGAGAGAGAGAGAGATCAAGACAGGAAGAAAGAGGAAGAAAGAGATGTATGAAAGAAAAAGTGAGAGAGAGAGACAGGGAAGAGGAAGAAAGGAGAGGACAATTGATGGAACGGGAAAATATGTACTGATGCTATAATATATACTGTTGCTACTGCTGCTACTGCTGCTACTGCTACTGTTGCTACTGCTGCACCTGCTACTTCTGCCGCCGCTGCTGCTGCTACTGCTACTGTTGCTACTGCTGCTCCTGCTACTGCTGCCGCTGCTGCTACTGCTACTGCTGCTGCTACGGCTGCTGCTACTGCTACTGCTACTGTTGCTGCTGCTACTGTTGCTGCTGCTACTGTTGCTACTGCTGCTGCTGCTGCTGCTACTACTGCTACTGCTACTGTTGCTACTGCCACTGTTGCTACTGCTACCGCTGCTGCTGCAGTTGCTGCTGCTGCTGCAGCTACTACTACTACTACTGTTGCTACTGCTACTGTTGCTACTGATACTGCTGCCGCTGCAGTTGCTGCTGCTGCTGCTACTACTACTACTACTGCTGTTGCTGCTGCTACTGCTGCTACTGCTACTGCTACGGCTGCTGCTGCTGCTGCTGCTGCTGCTACTACTACTACTACTACTGCTGTTGCTGCTGCTACTGCTGCT